TTCTCTCTGTTCAACTTCTTTTTGTATGATGGTGGCACTGGGATTTGAACCCAAATCCTTGACCTTGCCAGGTAGGAGCACTACCACTTAAGCCACGCTCCCAACTCTTATACAGATTTGTTATATTGCAAAACTGGTATTCTGTGCCCATTAAACACTAACTCCCTACAGCCCCCTACTCTAGGCCCTCGCAAACATTATTCTATTTTCTGTCTCTTAAGAAGAATTTGACTACTTGGGAGACCATATGTTCTCTCTCTCTCTCTCTCTCTCTCTCTCTCTCTCTCTCTCTCTCTGTCACTCATTTCTTAAATATCCACCAGGGGGCAGTAAAAGATGCAGAAATTTTTCAATAGCCCTTTTGAGCACCAAGTAATCCAGCAGCATCTTGCGTGTATCTCTTTTAGCCATCCATGTATACAGTTTCAAGATAATGGATTTCACATCCAACAGCAGCTTTGGGTAAGCTAGAGATACGATCAGATGTAGCTTAAGTGTAAGTCTTCCTCACACTGTATTTTGATTTCGTGTTAGTCTAGTGCTTCTCAGAGAGAATACACATCAAAACTGTCTGGAGTGTTTTTTCTAACACACACACACACACACACACACACACACACACACACACACACACACACACACACACACACACACGCAGGTCTCAGCCAAGGCCTATCAAATCAGAATATCTGGGGCTGGAGCCCAGGTGTATTTTGATTCTGGTCCATAACTTCTCAGTAAGGATCAGTATACTTGTTCTTAAGTTATTGGAAAAGAGGGTGTCTCTTGAATAAAAATTTCTCTTCCGCTAAAGAAGTGACTCTAGGGTCTTGTGGCTAAGGGAACTTCATTCTGACCAATATTGAGGCTTGCTTGTAGATTACACCTGTCTTTTAGCACACCAGCAATCCCGACAGGAGATTGGAAACTGGGCAATCTCAGCCATCCCTGGATCCATGAATTCAGTTCTAAGATGGCCAGCTGTGCTCAGGGGTCAAAGTCTTTACTATGAGATTGGATGCCAACACTGTCTGAGATGTTGAGTCTTTTGCATAGTAAGCAAGAAAAGAGGCCTTCAGTACCTTATCAAAGGTTAAAAATAGCTCAGTGATCCTGAGGTAGGATCATGAGACCTTAGGTCCTCATCCTGTCAATCAACCCAGTTATGGGATCCAAGGCAAAAATCAAGTCATCTCCCTAATCCTCAACTTTCCCTTTGCATTCTAAAAGAATTGGGCAGTGTTGATCTCTGAGGATCTTTTCAGTTCCAAACATTCAACGATTCTATTCATATTAATAATCTTGATTTGTAGTTACTACTCAGCAAAGACCAGAAGAAATATTCTGTAAGGCAATGAATGACAGTGACTATTGACCATGTTGTTTAATTTATTTAGGATGCATATGCTGAATTCAAAGGAGAAAATATTGCTCCTGATAATATATTGAACAGTTAGTATCTTGGCCTAGCAAAAGCATTCCAGAGGGAAAAATTACCCATCAGTGCAAAGCTGACATTTTTCACTTCCTGATCCATAATGACCATTTGTCAAGCACGCTCCTATTTACTGTAAAGGACCATGTGTGTGAGCACCTTGGAAGAATATGAAATGACTACGTAAATATCAAGGTCACTGTAGCAAGAACAGGCCCAGGGGAGGGGCCTGGGAGGCTTGCATTGATCTCTTGTGAAGTTCCATTCCCAAGTCTTGCTGACAAAGGAGAAACAATAGAAGTAGACCATTATTAAGGCTTTTAAATGTTTCTCCATTGTTAAAGATCTTTTACAAGCCCAGCATAACTGATAGTGTCCAAGGAATCGGCAAAAGCCTCACTTAGAAATATAGGCTGGTCAAAGAGATAAGTACAACTCAGAGTGCAGATGGCCTGGCCCAGGCTCACACAGCAGAGGTGGAGGCTGAGGGGAGTCCAGTGCTGCGGCAGAGCCACCAACCCAGCCTGCCAGGCACTGTGCTGTTACAGCTCCAAACTGCAGAGTGTGCAGTGTCTTCTTCCCTCTGTTGCCAGCTTCTCACTTCCTCCTGTTCCTTTGCTCTGATGAAGAACGCTTCTGCCATTGCTGTCCATCCAGTCTTCAGAGCTGCACAGGGCTAGGCTACGTGTGGATGTTTCATACATGTGATCCTAGCTAGTCAGGAGGCTGAGATCTGAGGATCCTGGCTCAAAGCCAGCCTGAGCAGGAAAGTCCATGGGATTCTTCAATGAACCAGAAAAAAGCTGGAAGTGAAAATGTGGCTCAAGTGGTAGAGTGCCAACCTTGAGCTAAATGACAGGTCTTGTGTTCAAGCCCCCAGTAAGTGGCATATACAGTGATACATGAAACATCTCATAAGTGCTCAGATGTCTTAGACCACTTTTGGATGCTATAACTAAATACCTGAAACTAGTTTATAAAGAAATGTATTTCTTACGGTTCCATAAACAGAGAAGCCCAATATAGTTCAGTAGCAAAGTGCTGGCATCTTGTCAGGCCTTCTTGCTAAATCTTAATACAGTGGAGGGTGTCACATTGCAGGGCAGAAGAGCAAAAGTGTTGGCTGTAGTCTTTCTTGCTCTCAGAGAGCCACTAATGCTGTCATGGTACTTCACCCGCATGACCTTTCCTCTAGTCCTAAGTACTTCAAGTCTCCACTTGCAAATACCATAAATGTTTGATTCTGAGAATAAAGTTTCCAACATGTGAACTTTGGGGGCCACACTCAAGCCATAGCATTGGAGGAACCAGATACGTATTTGTGGGATTTGTTTGTTGTTGTTTTTGAGGGTTTTTGTTTGTCTGTTGTGGGGCCTGAACTCTGGGCCTGGGCACTGTCCCTCAGCCCTTCAGCTCAAGGCTAGTGTTCTACCACTTGAGCCACATAGGGCCACTTCTGGTTTTCTGGTGGTTTATTGGAAATAAGAGTCTCAGGGATTTTCCTACCCAGGCTGGCTTTGAATCATGATCCTCAGATCTCAGCGTCTTGAGTAGTTAGGATTTACAGGCATGAGCCACTGGCACCGGTTTCAGATACATATTTGTTATGCATAAACAGACTGGGGAAATGCCTAACTAATACCTTATGTGAATGTCCTGCTATTCTTGGGCTGGGAAGAGAACAAACGTGGTAGGTAACAGAATCTAGTTTCAAAAAGATCTCCCCAGATAGAAGGATCAGCCAAAACTACCAGATGAACTTACTGATTATGTAAATGGTAAAGCACCTGTCACTCCTGTACCAGCTCCGTTTTGGTATTAATGCTTGGTTCTCTGCACATTTCAGCTTATCCAGTCTTCACAATGACCCAGAGGGGGTTTGGAAGGAACATGGAGGAACGTATGGGGCTTTAAAGTCGTTACTCTAGATTTTAGATCTGATTCTGCCCCTCCCCCTCCCCGCCCCCCCAGTTAGCTGGCAAGTTACTTCATCTGTTAAAAATAGCAGTAGCTAGGCTTTTGGTTGTCTTTCAACATGTCAGGTTCTGCGTGCTTAGCTGTTGCATTGAATCCTCTGAACAATCTTACTCCTATTTAATAGATGAGAAAGTCACTGGGAACAAGTAACTTGGGCAAGTCACTTAACAGGAAGTGACAGGGCCAAGGCCTCAGCCCAGGCTGTCTGACTCTGACACCCACACACTTTTGAAACCTTTTAAAAAATTTTAGATAGCACGTATTAATTGCATAGAAGGGCTTCACTGCAGTATTTTCATGCATGCATATAATGTACTTTGATCAAATTTACCCTATGTTATTCTTTCCTATACACCCTCCTTCCTGTCTGAATCAATTTAATGGGTTTCATTATTCTATTTTCATACATTTAATAAAGTACTTTGATCATATTCACTTCCCCTTTTCTCTTTTTCCTTTCCACCCTTTCTATCCCACTGGTTTCCACACCCTCCCCCCCCCCAAAAAAAAACCTCTCTATTTTATACTCTTGTTACTCATTCTATTTCCTTAGTCTAGATTCCACATGTGAATTAAATGGTTTATTTGATGTGATGATTTCCAAGTCTACCCATTTCCCCACAAATTTTATTCTCCTTTGTGGCTGTGATCTCCATTTGTGTACATATCACATTTTCCTTATCCATCTGTTGGTGGACATCTCAAGCTGATTCCATAGTTTTGTTACATGGATGTGCAGGTACTTCTATTATATGCTGACTTACATTCCTTCAGTTGTATGCCCACAGGTGGTTCGGCAGGTTCACAAGGTAGTTGTATTTTTTGTTTTTTTGAGGAGCCTCCGTACTGACTTCCACAGCAGCTTCCTGAATTTACATTCCTACAACAATGTATAGGGTTTCTTTTCCTGCGCATCCTCTCCACCATTCTTTGTTTGTTTTCTTGATGATGGCCATTCTGACTGGGGTGAGAGGGAATCTCAGTGTAGTTTTGCTTTGCATTTCCTTTATGGCTAAGGAAGCCAAGCACTTCTTTGTGAATACATTGGTCATGTGTACTTATTTTGAGAAATATCTGTTCAGTTTACTTTCTCACTTATTAATTGGAATATTCTTTGGGAGAATACCCAAAGAATACAGCTGCACCATCTCTGTTTCTTCTCCTGTAAAAATGGAACAACCATGTATTCTGTGTGCGTTAGATGATATAACTTACGTGAAGTACCAAATACAGTATCAGATGCATCTTAGGCACTCACAAATGGCATTAGACCATCGTCTTTAATATTAGTTCCAAAACTTGCTCAATGGTATAGCTGCTAATAAATGGGAAAATGAGGGCTGAACCAATGCCTTGTGGTTACCATTCTAGTGCCTCTCTTCATGTCCTCTGGAGCATGAGATTCTGGACCATTCTCTATCTCAGTTCCTTGTACAGCATTGTCTTCATGGAAAATGTTCAATGAGCACTCAGTAATGGGGGAATCACTTTCTCTTGCTCCTCCACCAAATGTTTGCCAAGATGCTTCTGTGCTTGGATATCTGGCGCAGAAATGAATATGATGCCAACCACTCTCCCCCCTCAACAGGTTCAAGTGGTGAAAGAAGGTGACCCCTCCTGGAAGCCCACTTTTATTGTGAAGCCTGATGGTGGTTGTCAGGGTGATGGAATCTACCTCATTAAAGACCCCAGCGACATCCGCCTGACTGGGACCCTGCAGAGCAGGCCAGCAGTGGTCCAGGAATACATCTGCAAACCTCTCCTTATCGACAAGCTCAAGTTTGATATTCGTCTGTATGTTTTACTAAAGTCCTTAGATCCCTTAGAGATTTATATAGCCAAAGATGGACTCTCTAGATTTTGTACAGAGCCATACCAGGAGCCCAACTCCCAAAACATGCACCATGTCTTTATGCACTTAACCAACTACTCGCTGAACATCCACAGCAACAACTTCATCCACTCGGACAGTGCCAACACGGGCAGCAAGAGGACTTTCTCTAGCATTCTTTATAGACTGTCTTCCAAGGGTGTGGACATCAAGAAGGTGTGGTCTGACATCATCTCCTTGGTGATCAAGACTGTCATTGCCCTGACTCCAGAGCTCAAAGTTTTCTACCACTTGGACATCCCCACGGGGCGGCCGGGGCCCACCTGCTTCCAGGTAACCATTGCCAGCTCTCAACTTGAATTCTCCACCTTGATGGGGCCCAGGGAGGGCTCTGGCCTCTGATGGGATGAAGGGGGCCTTGATGTGAGTGTTGGTGTGAAGCGTGGCCTGACTTCCTGCTTTCTGTCCACTAGCTATATGATTTCCCATGAGAAACTTGAAAATGAAAGTAATAGTAATTGTAAGAATTCAGCCAAGTAACAGATGTGATACAGAGCATCACTCATACATTCCTTCATTCAAAAATTTTATCAGCTGCTTAGTAGGGGCTCAGGCACTGCTCTAGGTCCTGGTGAGAAAGCAGGTTAGATTCCTGATGCCTGCTGTGTAGTGTCCACAGTAAGAGACAAATCCTTTGGACAGGGATTATTATAGGGATGTTCCATGTACTAGAACTGAATAACAGACCTATATTCCCCTAGTTGGAGTACAGTGGTCAGGGAGGACTTCCTGGAAGGAATGGTAGTTCCAATGAACCCTAAGGTAAGAAATGGAGCCATTAAGACTGGATAACAGCAGGGGCCACAGTGTTCTTGGTAGAGACACGGTTTTGCTCTGGAGGTGAGATGGAAGCTTAGTGTGTGTGAGACACTGGAAAGAGGTTCAGTGAGGTGGGAAGATGAGGTTTGAGGAAGAGCTGTGGAGAGAGATGAGGAAAGAGGAAGAGGAAGTAGGGAGGGGGCAGGGTCATGGAGAGGCTTTGGGCAGGAAGGGCGGGCGGCCACTGAGGAAGTTAATTAGGGGACTGACTGTACTCTGATTTTCACATCACAAAGAACACAGTGCATGCAGAGCGGAGAATGGATTGCGGCAAGCCTGGTCTCAGACAGATCTCCAGTGAGACAATTGCTTTTGCACAAGTAAAAGATTCTGGCTTTGAATAGGAAGGTCTTTGCAGAGGCGTAGAAAATAGGTAGATTTGAGCAACATTTAAGGGAGATTGAGGGGCTAGATTTGGTGACTGGGTGGGGTAAGGGACAGAGAAGAGAGAGGAACTGAGGCAGATAATGCAGGTGGGCTTAGCTGCTTGGACAGAGGCCACAGGAAGAGGACCAGACCCAGACCAGTGGGGAGAAGGCCAGGAATTGGACTTGAAGTGCCTGTGTTGTACCAAAGTGGGAAATTCAAGGAGCTATTTGCAGCATAAGTCAGGAGATAGAGGCCTGAGCTGGAGAAAGAAATGAGAACTCATCTGCATTCAGACAGTAACAGAAGATATAAAAAGATGTGGGTGAGAAGAGGTCAGAGAACACCCCTGTGGGCACCTCCGCTTAATTAAAGGACAGCTTAGAGGTAGGGAGCCTGCAAAGGAGGCCAAGAAGTGCTTGAGATATAGAAGGGGGATCACGAGGGGAGGACCCCAAAATGCCAGGGAAGAGGTGTTCACAGAAGATGGGGCTGGGCCAGTAGGTGGCATCAAACGCTGCAGAGATGTCAGGCAGGACCGGCATTGAAAGCATCCATCGTATCCCCCAACCAGGGGACTTCAGGCTCTAAGGGAGGATGAAGGAGCTAGCAAGTAGGAGGGAAGGCAATGGAGAACAAGGGCAGAACATCTTCCGGGTCACTAAGTTGGCCAGGCAGGGCAGGGAACACCAAGGCCAGGCACTCAGAAGAGACTCCAAAGTCAGAACAGATACAGCAAGAAGAAGCATCTCTAAGGTCCTTCCCATCTGGTCTTTAAAATAGCAGCTGATATATGGAACATATTTATAAACCAGGCAGCACAAAAAAAAGCCCATCATCTCTCACCCACCTTCCAACCCTTGTCTTTAGTGACTGCATTTGTCCTGTCCCATCCCCCACCAGGGTAACTGGGATCCTCAGTTGTAGGTTTAGCATGTCCTTGTTAAATGCTCTCATTATTCACAAACATACTTCTAAGCAATATTGTCTCATTTGGATTGGGTTTTGTTGTTGATGTTGTTTTTGAGCTTTAACAAGGCAATGTCATAAAGCGTGTGGTCTGCAACATTCTTCTTTATCCTATGCAGTGTTTCAATGATTGGTTCCAGTCTATGGCTGGAAGGTGATGGGCATGGAATGAGTGAGAAGAGGGAATGGGGCAGTGGCTGCCATGGACAGGCATTCCTTCAGTGGGAGGAGAGGACTCTGTTCCCCAAGTGCAGCCTCAAGCTCAGAGAGGCTTCTGCGGGGCTGGTGCCCAGAAGTAGGATCTCCAGACAAGCCACAGAAGCCTAGGAAGGGGGATCCAAGCAGTAATCAGTACCAGGAGGAGATCATTGTCATCTGGACATCTGTCCTTGGGCATCTGGCCTCTATGCCTTGTTATGGTTCCCAGGCAGAATGTCAGTGCCACATCAGCAGGTGCTTTGAGACATTAGAAAAGCAAATGAGAAGGACTTTGATGTGGGGGCCTGACCTGTGCACCCAAGACTGAAGTCAGAGGAAAGAGTTGTGATGAGGCCACGTCCAGGAGTCATGCTGGGGACCGTGTGGCCACATCTGTTCCATTGTGACAGCTATTGCATGCTCCAGAAAGCATGGCCAAGCCTCAGAACCCTGGCATGGTCCTGGTGGCAGGAAAGGAGAGCCAGGACGGTTGTTTTGTTTCTTGTCTTGTTGTGGACAGGCAACAATGAGCAGCTACTGGGATGGAACAGGAGGGTGGACAGAGGGAGCTGCTGGTTTGAACATGGAACCTCAGCCTTGTGAGTGTTTTTCCACAGCTTCACCACACTGGATGCTTCTAGGCTGGAGGGGGAGGGGGTGGCTAAAAGAAGAGCTTGGAGCTTAGAAATAAAGCTTCTTCCAGCTGCGACCTTGGAAGGTCTCTTTACCACCCAGCACCTCTGTTTTTCTCTCTATAAGTCACCCACTCTTTCTTCCTACCTACCGTTTTAGGAGTGTTGTGAAGTGCACTGACAAGGTATAAAGTCTTAGATGTTTAGAAGGTGTTTTGTGGTGCAGTTTAGGCATGTAGTGATTGAGAGGAAGTGAGATTCTGTTCTCTTGTTTGCATTTTTAATCACTTGCTAGACTATCACTTGCTAGGTATCTGCAGGGTTGCAGATTCCCGTACTGACTTGGAAAGCAAAGGGTTAGTTTCGGCATCACATGCTGTGCGATCTGGTATAAGTTATTGAATTTATCTTCGTAGGTTCAGTTTCCCTACCTGCCTCCCTGATTGGTTGAAATTGGAATGAGAGAAGGATGGTAGAAGGGCTTTGCAGGCAGTGATGTTCTGCCTAGAAACAAGGAAGCTCTTTTTTTTTTCCCCAAAAGAAGCTCCTCTCGCTTGTAGCCTAGGCCTGGCCTAGACAACAGCATTCCAGAATATAAACTCAAGCCAACAAAATTACATTTGGGTGGAACATGTAACTGTCATCTCTTGCCAGTCATAGCCACAATAACTACTTGGGGATCACGCTGGCCCCAGCAGTGGCTGGCACTGCTCAGTTGTGGGCAGGTTCCCTGTCATCTGCTGCCCAGCAACATGGCTGCCCTGGCATTCCAACTGGTCCCCTTGTCATTGTCCGAGCAGCTCTAGCAACATGCCCTCCAATCTGCGTTCTTGAGGCAGAGCTGTGACCTTGGCTTAAATAGCAAAATCTATTTGTGTACAGATGATTCATGTGGCCAAAATACACATGCAAAGGAAAGGTTTCTAAGCTCAGTTTTCAAGAATGTTCTTCCCACCCCATGGCTTGATTGTATCTTCTTGTTGTCCCCTGTAGCTAATTCTGTCCTTGACCAATAACCCTTTCCAAAACTTACACGTCTATAAGAGACACCTTTCCTTTGCCTCAAGTTGATCCACCTCTTTGTTCCCTGTTCTCTGTGACCTGCTCCTCACTCTGCAGTCAGGATACCCCCACAGGAAGGAGGCCCAGAAGCAGCCTAATGGTCAAGGCCTTGAGTTTGTTCTAGATACCCTGAGTTCCAGCAAATTTGAGTTACCCATTGTAGCAACTCTAGCTGGTAGTCTTGGCAAGTTGATCTTTACGTGCCTTCGTTGCCTTATCTGTAAGTAGAGGCCACCTCCCCAAGCTGTGCTATGCTCACATAAGAGAGAGCAGTGTGAAGCCAGGCACTGGTACACACCTGTAATCCTAACTACTCAGGAAGCTGAGATCAGAGGATCATAGTTTGAAGGCAGCCCAGGCAAGAAAGTCCATGAGACTCATTTCCAATTAATCAGCAAAAAGCTACAAGTGGGAATGTGGCTCAGGTGGTAGAGCACCAACCTGGAGTGAAAAAGCCAGGTGAGAATATGAGGCTCTGAATTCAAGCCTCAGTAGTAGGGAGGGAAGGAGAGAAGGAAAGAGAGGGAGGAAAGAGAGAAAGGAAGCGCAGGAAGAGGAGGGAGAGGAAGAGGAGGGGGAGGAAGAGGAGGAGGAGGAGGAAGGAATATGGGATAAGGCAGAAAGCAAGCTATATGCAAGAGCACAGTACCTAGCACACAACAATCACTAAATGACAGTTTTTTTACAATTACTATACAGCTTGTAACAATGACACTTCTCAAAGTTGTGTTTGAGGAAGTGCCAGGAAGCTTATAGGAAACCAGGACCCAGTCAGAGTTTAACCTTAATTGGAATACTCATGTACCAAGGAGCAGAGCCTGGAAAACCAAGCCTTAGACTGGCATTGGTCACTTTCCAGTCCAGCTTCCGTGCCTCCGGTCCTGCCGAGCAGATCTGACTCCCTTCTCTTAGATACCACCTGTGCCACCCCTTGTTCTCGGTCTTGACCCGCCCAACCTACTGTCTTATCACTGGTCCTCACTCCTGTCCAATGCCTTCCAAGGAGCTGCTCACATCCCGCCTCAGGAGCACCTTCCCTTGAGTGCCTCTGATATGAAACTTCTCTAATGCCTTTCCTGGCCTCCCATGAGACATGGCTGTGTGTCGTAGTTTGAGAAGTGCTGAGGATGGGAGGTGCCATGTGCTTGAGGATAGCAGTGCTACCTAGGGCACATACCTAATGGTGGGGGCACAGAAATGGGAGAATTAACTGGCTAACAAGGCCTC